AAATAATTTTAAAATAGCTTGAACTAAATGAAAATTAAAATAGAACTTATCTAAAAATTCAAGAGAGAGCACAATTATTGCTTTGAAGGAAAATTATAGCACAGATACATGTGTTAGGAATGAAGAAATATCTAAAACCAATAACTTAAGTTTCTTCCTTGGCAAATAGAAAAAGAATATCAAATTAATTCCAAAGTAACTGGAAGAAAAATAATGAAGTTACAGAAAAACTGAATGAAATTGAAAATAAGAAAATGCCAAAGCTAGCTACTTCTGTGAAAGGATCAACATAATTGGTAAGATTCTACTAAAGCTTTCTAAGAGCAAAGAGAGAAGACTCAAATTATTTACATCATGTCTCATAGATATTAAAAGAACAATAAAGGAATACTGTGAGCAACACCATGTCCACAAATTTGCAATTCTGGATGAAATGGACCAATTCTTTGAAAGTTTAAATTTGCCCATTTTCACATAGGAGGACATAAATTATTGAAATAGGCCTATATCTATTAAAGTTATTGAGCTATTAATCTTCCAACAGAAAAATCACAAGGTTCATGTGAACTCACTACTGAATTCTTTCAAACATCAAGCAATCATTCCAATATTCTACAGTCTCTTTCCAGAAGAGAAAAGCACAGAAAATACTTCCGAATTTATTCTATGGAGATAACATTACTCAAACAGCAAAACCAAAACCAGAATTTACTAGGAAAAACACTACAGAATAGTTTCTCTTAGGAACAGAGATGCAGACATCCTAAAGTGTTAACAAATTGAATTGAGCAATGCATAAACAGAATTGTACAGCACAACTAATTGGGATTTACTGCAGTTTATGGAAGGCAGGTTTGGTATTTAAAAATCAATGAATACCATTCATTTCATCAACAGCCAAAAGGGGAAAAAATTAATACAGTATCAATTCCTTCCAAAAAAATACTTGACGAAATGCAACACATACTCATGATAAAAAGTTGCAGCAAGCTAAAAGTACAGGGAGCATTTCCTTAACTTGGTAAAGAACATCTACAGAAGTACACAGCTGACACTGAATGGTGTAATTAGAATGTTTGCTGCTAAGGGCAGGTACTAAGCAAGAAAGGCCCTTCCCACCACTACTTATCAACATTATACTAGAAAGCATGACAAATGCAATACGAAAAGAAAATGGAGTAAAAGATTATAGATTTGGGGAAAGACATAAATCTTTGTGCATAGGTGATATAAATTTTATTAAAGAAGATCTGAAAGAATAAAATAAAATGCTTCTAAAACTAGAAAGCAATTATACCAAAGTGCAACACACAAGGTTAACTTACAAAAGCAAATCACTTGTCTGTGTATCAACAACAAACAAGCAGAATTGGACATTTAAAACATGATACTACATACATGGGTAACCATAAAAATGAAATGCCAAGGCATATAAAACAAAATGTGTGTTCCATCTTTATGAAGAATATTATAAGCATCAAATGAAAGAAATAAAAAAAGCACTGAATAAATGGGGAGATTATCTATGTTCTTAGGAAGACTCAATATTGTTACAATTCCGTTTTTCCCCAAGGTTATTTATAGATTCAAAGCAATTCCATCAAAATGTCAGGAAGTGATATTGCGGGCATCAGGATTCTGATCCTAGTGTTTACAAGGAATGGCCAAAAAAAAAAAATTCAGAATTACCAACATAGTATTGAAAGGGAACGAAGTCAGAGAGCCAACATCACCTACCATCAAGATTTGCTATGAAGTTATAGTAATAGAGATGGTACGGTACTTGTGCAAGAACAGACTAATAGATAGCTGGAATGGAATAGAGGGCTCTCACATACCCTAATACAAATATGTCACCTGGCCTGGAGAAAGGAGCAGAGGCAGCTCAAAGGAAAGAAGAAGTCTTCCCAACGAGTGTTGCTGGAACTGCTGGACAGCCTCATGTCAAAATGAAAAACAATGAACACAATGAACCTACATCCTTCAGAAAAATTAATTCAAGCTGGACTGTAGCTCTAAATATAAGATTCAACACTATAGGGGCTGGGGATTTAGTTCAGTGGCAAAAGTGCCTGCCTGGCAAGCACAAGGTCGTGAGTTTGATTCCTGGTACCGGAAGAAAAACAAAAACAAACAAACAAAAAAAGATTCAACACTATAAATCCAGAGAACTTCAAAAGAGAGACTCTGCAAGGCTTTGGGTCGGGTGATAAATATTTCGGTATACCACCAAAGGCACAAACCATGAAAGAATTGATGAGCATGAGTTCATAGAAATTAGAAACTTCCGCACCGTAAAAGATACTGTCAACAGAGTGAATGAGAATATACTCCAGAAATGGAAGTGGGAGAAAATGTTTGCAAAAGACATTAGATAAAATACTGGTGAACAAAATATACAAAGAACTCTTTAGAAGAAAAGGAACACCTGATTACATACAAATGGCAAATGATTTGAACAGATCTCTCATTGAAGGTGACCTATAGATGGAAAATAAATGATGAAACAATGTTCAACACCATGTGTTATTTGTGTATTTCAAAAGAAAACAGTAATCACATACTATTACACACCTAGCAGAATGGCAAAAATCCTATACTGACACCACCATATATTGTCAAAACTCTGCAGCTCAGAATATCCATCCCATTTGTTGCTGGTGGGAATGCAAAATGCTATAGCCACTTTGCAAGGCAAAAGTAAACACTCACTTATTATACAAACCGGCGACTGCATCCTTTCGTATGTGCGCACGTGAGGCGAATACTAATATTCACCCAAGCATGGTAGCAGCTTTATTCACAGTTGCTCAAGCTTGGAGGAAATCATGGTGTCTTTCAGTAGGTGGGTAAATAAACAAAGTGTGGCCTATGCAGAGAAGGGAAAAGGAAATGAACTGTCAGATCATGAAAGTAGCTTAATGATATGAAAGTAGCTTAAGTCTGAATTATTAAGCAAAAGAAACCAATCTGAAAAGGCTACAAACTGTGTGAATCCAAGTCTATTACATTCTGGAAACTAAGTGAGGGGAGAGTAAACAATCAGTGCCAGGAATTGGTGGAGGAGGAGAGGCAGAGCAAGGAGGATGTTTAAGGCAATGAAACCGTTCTGTATAGCACTCTAAAGGTGCGGACCGGCCATTCCACTTTAGCGAAGCCCCCAGAATGTGCAACACCAAGAAAAAAACCCCGTGCAAACTAAGAATGTTGCCTGATAATTACTGCCAGTGTGAGGTCATCAACTGAAGCAAATGTGCAACTGTGGGGTAGAATATGGATAGCCGGGTTGTGTGTGGGAGGGAAGGGCATGTGGGAGTTCTCTGTTCTTCCTTTTAAAGTCTCTACACAGGAAAACTGTTCTCAGAATAAATTCTGAAAGTGCATTCTCCTTTGATAGGCTCTCATAGCACCAAGAAATACTGCTATTGAGTAATGTCCTTGCAACATCAAACTTCTCCACATGGAATCATGGCATTATAAACCCCACGAAGCAGAGCGCTTGTGTATTTTTCCCAGAGACATTGCCCATACTGTGAATGGACACTGACACATAAAATAATCAATTATTTGTTAAATTAGTGAAAGAATTCATGAAGGAGTGAGTAAACTGGGATTTGGAGCAATGAAGTTCTCACTCTTATGTTGGAAATTCTTGTGAGTGGATTGTCATTGTGGGCAAGAAAGCAGGCACAGGCGCTCAGAATTCTAGAAGCCCTGTGAGATATGTGAAGAGGGGAATGGAAAACGAAGACTGCTGTGCTGAAAGAAAGACCTATCAGAGCAGAGTGAGTGCCTGTGTAGTGCTGGGCCGCCGGGCCCCTGGAAAACATAGCTGCCAGAAGCAGGAAAACTAATGAGACTGAACAGCCAGTGTAAGAGAATGGGCTGTGGAAATTTTACTACGATGCCATAAATATTCCAACTTCCCCTTGTTTAATAATTGGATAACTTAAGCCTGTCAAAGAGGAATTATTATGCTTTAATGCATTTTGAAGTTTTCAGATTTATTTTTTCAAAAGCATTTGACAGAAATGATAACATCTATAAAAAGAATCCAAGGTCTCCTTTAATCTATTGCAAAGATAGAGGCTGGATCCATCCTGTACCGCCACGGATACAGAAGAGAGAAAGGCCTCTGCACATCCCCTGGCCGCTTTGGACCCCACCCAAGACTCAGCTCCTGGCCTCCGCTCCTGCCCATCAGCAGCCTTGCAGAGATGGGACTGCCCGCAATAGTGCCCCAGATATTTCAGCAAGGTCCAGGGACAATTCTTCCCATGACGTGATCAGTAGCCAGTGCAGGCCTCCAGGAGAAATATAAAACCCTGGCTGCATGAGGTTGGAGGGAGCATGGGAATGGCATTCAGGGTGAAGGCAGACGTGTGGCTGGCAGGGTCCTGGCTGTGCCTGAGAGGGTCCAGGGCACTGGGCACAGGAGCCGCTATGGGCCCCAAGGCCACAGTGCTGCCCTTTGAAGCTGTACCCCAGTACCCGGGCAACAAGTGGCTGAGGGTGCTGCAGATCTGGAAGGATCAGGGCATTGAGGACATTCACCTGGAAATGCATCGGATCTTCCAGGAGATGGGGCCCATATTTAGGTAGCCTCCTCTGTAGCCCTCTCCCAAGGATGCCCATAGCCTCTTGTCCTGCCAGAGGCCAGGCCCTTGCCAGGCACATGGTACCAGCATAGCCCCATGGGTCCTAGTTCTCTGCCCTCAGGAAAGCAAGGCAGGAGCACTGTGGGCTGCTGGCTTGAGGGCTTGCCGTGGAAACCATGGCTGTTCGTGAGGACAGACCAAAGTGGGGCTCACCGTGCAGAGGACAGAATGCAGAAACACTGAATCGGGCGAGGCTCAGGGGTACAGAGAAGGGGCTTTCTCAGGGGCGAAATCAAGTCAAGGAGAAGGGAAAGGTTTGACAGGACTCAGCTGCATTGGCTGTGAGGAAGCCACAGGAAGGACAAGATGTGGCCCAACTGATTATTGTGCATTGTCCCACAGGTACGACTTGGGAAGAAGACAGATAATCTGTGTGATGCTGCCAGAGGATGCTGAGCGGCTGCACCAGGCTGAGGACCTGTATCCCTACCGCATGCACCCGGAGCCCTGGTTGGCCTACAGAGAGCACCGAGGGCAGAAGCGTGGCGTGTTCTTGCTGTGAGGAGCCAGTGGGGATGAAGAGGGAGGTGGGATTGGCAGCCCAGACAGAGAGAAGAGGCAGGAAGGAGCAGACCCAAAGGCACACAACTCTGGGCCATGTAGCGGTTGGTGGAGACACGGTGACTGCCAAGGAAAGATGGGTGCCATCCTGAGGACTTCCTGGGGGTGGAGGAGCAAGCAATGAAGTGGTAGAGAAATGCTCCTTCCTGGGGAGAGGAGGGACACTGACATCATCATGAGGTGGCGCCCACTCCTCACAGCCTTGCTGACATTCTCTCTTACAGGTGGGTGGTTCCCCTTCCTGTGGCTCAGAGAAATGGCCCTGAGATAGGGAGGCATTGGACTAGGGCCACACCCAGCATATTCCAGAGCTTGATGTCCACGAGGCTGCAGCCACCCTCTGACTGGTGCCCTGCAAGAGATAAGGCACCCTTTACTCTTTAGGAGAGAGTCCTGGTGATAAGGATGATGGGGATGCAGGTGTTGAATGGCTCTTTGTGCTCAGGAGCAAAGCTCTAAGTGAGCTAGTGGCAGTAGGACCTGGATCCTTCATGTGGAAAGCGGGGATGCTTGGGTAGGTAAGCAGGGAGAAGGTGGTGCTTGTGGCAGAGCAGCAGGAAAGAGGTTGTCATTAGGGGGCAGGAGGTTTCAAAAAGAAAAGTCAGGCTATGGGTGGTCACACTACTGTCAAGGAGTAAATTTTCTTGGGATAGCAGGATTTAAGGGACTAGGTCTCTTGAGCACAGCTTTAATATGAGATGCAGCTGGCAGGGATGGAAGGCCAAAAGGCAGGCCAGGGAGAAGGGTGGGCATGTGAATGTGAAGAAATCAGTTAGTGTGCGCATGTGTGTGAACGTGTCTTGCATCTGAGTCCATACATACTTTGCATTTGCCTTTGTCTGAGTATTGTGTGTGTCTTCATAAATGTGTACTGTGTGCATACATGTGGCTAGAACATGTGTACACATGTTCTGCTTGGACACAGATGTGTCCAGGGGGGTGTGATCATTCTGTACAGTTTCAGGCATCATCCATAGAAGCAGGCAGGCGTGCTTACATGAGTGTGGCTCAGAGTGCAAATTCTTGGCCATCATTGCCTGGAAGGCCTCTGCCAGGCCCTCATGTTCTCTGGCCAGTTGCTTGAGGATATGGTAAGAACTTTGATGTTTTGAGAGCTTTTAAGAGCTGAGGTTCTGATCCTGCCCTACACAAGATGAGGACTTTGTTGAGGACAGGAAGATGTTACTGATTTGGAGGAGCATGTTCCACAGGGAAGAACGAGGAGGTGGGACGTCAGCCACCCTTCCCTTTAGGGCATGGTATCGGCCAGGTGAGTAAAGCTTGACAGAGGGTCAACTTCCTCTCTATGAGATAAAGCCTCCCTCCCTGCGCAGGGCTGGCAAAAGACATTTGTGAGGAGGGTATAGGGCTTGTGAACTGACAGGAGTGAAAGCACTTAATTGTCATAGCATTTTCAAGTAGAATCTGGTGTCTTGTTCCCATTTAGTCTTCAGTGACCATTATCCCAGCACATGAAGGCCACTCTGAGAGAAAGGGGTGGAGCAGGACCCCCAGCAGCCTACCTCCACGGACACATTCATCTCCCATCTCCTTTTTCCTTTTAGTGACGGGGAAGGAGGGGCTAGGTTTGAGTCCAGCTCTGCTCTATCCTGCAGGAACGGGCCTGAATGGCGCTACAACCGACTGCGGCTAAACCCAAATGTGCTGTCCATGGAGGCAATGCGAAAGTTTCTCCCCATGGTGGACACAGTGGCAAGAGACTTCTCAGAGACCCTGAAGAAGAAAGTGCTACAGAATGCCCGGGGGAGCCTGACACTGGACATCCAGCCCAGCATCTTTAACTATATCACAGAAGGTGGGTTCCAGATTGTTCCCAACCCCAGGGCAGGTGGAGGTGGCGAGCAATGGGGCAGAGAGAGCTGGAATGGTGCCCTGAGGTCAGGACTTTCTTTAGCCATCAATGCCATTCTTTCTGCAGCCAGCAACTTTGTACTTTTTGGAGAGCGGCTGGGCCTCTTTGGATGTAACCCAAGCTCTGACAGCCTGAAGTTCACCCATGCCCTGCATGCCATGCTCAAATCTACTGGACAGCTCATATTTCTGCCCAAAACTCTGTCCCGCTGGATGAGCAGCCAGGTGTGGAAGGAGCACTTTGAGGCCTGGGACACCATCTCTGATTATGGTGAGTCTCAGGAGCAAGACAGTCACCTACTTTCATATGCATCAACCACTCTACCTGAGCCACAGGGAGGTCAGATAACAGGATAATGGTAATCTCTGGTCTTGCTAGGATGTTAGCAGGAGACTAGGACTGACCTAGCTGGAGATAATAGTTGAAGCACAGAGATTTGGAGGTGTTGTGGGCAGGTGGGGAGGAATAGGAGAATGAAGAGGTGCTCCCATCTCTGGGATCTGAATATCTTTCCTTCCTCTCTTGCAGCTGAAAGTTGGATCCAGAAGACTTATCAGAAGTTTATTCACAATTACCCTCAGTACTACAGCGGCATCATGACAGATCTACTGTTGCAGGGGGACTTGCCAGTAAAAGCTATCAAGGCCAACGGTATTGAACTCACAGCAGGAAGTGTGGACACGGTCAGCTCAACACCCGCCTATCACTGTGAATAAAGCCCGCCATGATTTCCAGTGGGTCTCCTGTGCATAATCACCCAGGATCAGGGACCCCAGTCCTGGGCCTTCATACCATGGGAGAGGGAACCAGCCACGGGTGCATGAGCTCAGAGTGCCTCCTTTGACCACTCTGCAGGGAGTGAAACATGCACAGAAGTTCTAGGGTATCAAGGACACGCTTAGGAGGTCATTTCTGTGACTTCTGCCAGGAAATGAACTACTCTGGACATCTGGGACTCTGATCTCAGATGAGCACAGGGAGCACAGAAATAACCAGCAGGGAGAAATGTTTGGTATCTGAGGTTAGGAGTGGCAGGGCTGGTTCAGGTTGATGCATTAAATTTTTTGGACAGTCAGGCTAAAAAAGAATTGGAAGCTGATGGATGTGAGCTCCAGAGCCCCACCAAATGCTAGAGGCTACCTGCTGAGGCCCCAAGCAGGATGTGGGTAGCAGAGCCTGCAGTGACATAGGGGGAGTACTGGGCTGGGATAGAGAGGCCTTCCTCTGAATAATCAAAGAATGAATAGGTCCAGGTAGGCATCAGAAACCTGAAGCCTGGACTGCCAGGCCTGTCCTTCTGGGTATGCTTGTGGGAGGGCTGCCCTGGATGGAGGGCATGGCAGTGCATGGTCTGAGCCTTGCCCTCTGCCTCCTACAGACTGCCTTCCCCTTGATGATGACACTGTTTGAGTTGTCCAGGAACCCCACCACGCAGCAGGCCCTGCACCAGGAAAGCCTAGCTGCTGAGGCCAGCATCTCTGGGGATCCCCAGAGGGCCACTACGGAATTGCCCCTGCTGAGGGCAGCACTCAAGGAGACCCTGAGGTAGGTGTCAGCTCAGCCATCCCTAGTCCCTTTCCCCTCTGTCTAAGGGACTTGAGGACAGAGACGGAGCTATGAGTAGCTTCTCCTGGGAACTCGCTGTCACTCGGCTCTTCTTCACTCCCTTGTGGTGCGGGTGCAGCCCTCCTCCTCTGGGATCCCACTTCAAAGTCCTGTGGCCATTCTCCATGATCTCCTTGCCCTGCACTACCATGCAGAAGGAGTTCTGGCTGAGCTCAGCAGATACATGGAAGCCCACTGTCAAGATGCGGGCTAATTTTTCTTCTGGTGGTCCTGTGTAAGAAGGCTGCAGAGGAGATTGGAGATTTGTCACAGCTGGGGCATCTCTTCTGGTCTCTCATCCGCAGGCTGTACCCTGTTGGTATTTTTTTGGAGAGAATACTGAGCTCAGACTTGGTGCTTCAGAACTACCACATCCCAGCTGGGGTGAGTAAGTGCCCATGGTTCACAGCTGAAGCCATTTGCAAGTTGCTCCTCAGGCAGTTGACACCCCTCTCTGCACCTGTCTGCAGACCTTGGTCCATTTGTATCTGTACTCAATGGGCCGAAACCCCGAAGTGTTCCTAAGTCCAGAGAAATATAACCCTCAACGCTGGCTGGACAACAGGCAGACCTTCCACCATCTGGCTTTTGGCTTTGGGGTGCGCCAGTGTCTGGGGAGGCGTCTAGCAGAGGTGGAGATGCTACTGTTTCTGCATCATGTGAGAGAGCCTGGGCAGGGCCCCGGGATGGGGTGGGACCCTGGCCAAGGTGACTGTGGTGGGTCTGGGGAAGGGGGTAGGCCTTGGTAGAGGTTTGGCATGGCATCGGTGAGGGGAGCCTTACAGAGTAGGGAAAGGCTTGTGCTGGGTGGGTCCTTCCATAGTAGTGCAGAGCCCACGTGGTAGGTGGGCTGTGGTCTTGCAGAATGTGCCCTGAGCTGGACAAGGTGGGGCCCTGAAAAATAGGGCAGTGCCTGGCAGGGAGGGTCTTGCAGAGTGGGTTGGTCTGCATGGGAGTACAGGCTGCTCTTTCTCCACAGTCTGGTGGCCGCACTTAGGTGCTGCAGCAGGCTAGGTAGGACCCTGGCCCTGCTGAAGAGCCCAGATATAATCCACACTTCTGTCCTAGGTTCTGAAATCCTTCCGTGTGGAGACACCACTCCAAGAGGATGTGAAGCTGTCTTATCGCTTTGTTCTGATGCCCACCTCCTTCCCACTCCTCACTTTCCGCCCTGTAACCTAGTCTCATCTTCCCCACCAAATGTCCTCGGCACACCACTGTCCCGTCTCCCTGATCCTCGGCCGTCCTTCCTTTTCTCCTGCAAGGGCACTGCTTCCTGGCCACACTGCTGCCCAGACGGCCCCCTGCTCACACAGTGCAGGCAAAGCCCTGCAGGATCTGGGCTCACCAGGATGTGCAGCAAGGCCAGAGCAGAGCTCAGGAGGATCTTAGTGGCATGACCTGGTTTTATCCTCTTCCCAGGTCCACCCAACTCAATCTCCTGCAAAGTTTCTCTGCTAGAACAGACTGTGTCTCCTGAACGTTGTTTTTAGCATCCTCCCACGGTCATCCATGGGCCCTCAGACCACACTATTAACACTGGCCATATGTATGTTTTCCATTTTTATGGAATTAGCCAAGAAAATAGATCTGAATTTAGGACACATCACTGAGGTGTGGCGTTGGTGTTTGTGAACTCAAAAATCAGGAAAATAATTGTGAATACTAGTGACAATTGTATGTAGTCAAGGGGATGGGGTGGTTGTGATGGTCAGAGATTCAGACAGGAGGTCACATTGGAAACCTGGACATGGTGGCAGGAGAGATCATTGTTGGGTGAGCTGCGTCCACCTGAAGGTGAAGCACTAGCTGATGTGAGGCAAATATTTCTCGGAGCAAGCAGTAAACATTCTGAATATTTAGGATGGAGCGGAGGGTGTTAACCTCTTGTGGATTTCTCTGGAGCCTCAGGAATGTCAGGGGAGTATATCTGGGCAAAGAACAAGGACTTTATTAAGATCAAGGCTGTATGGGATGAATTAGGTCCCACTGAAAATCATGTGCTGAGCTCCAAGTGTCCTTAGAATGTGACTGCATTCAGAGATAGAGCCTATATTAAGAGATTTAATTTGAAATGAAGTGACTGGTGTGGACCTCAATCCTAATGACAGATGTCCTTGTAATAAGAGGGGTTTAGATCACATGCACACAAACAGGCATCCCATGAGGTGCCAGGGAGAAGAAACCTGAGAAAAATCCAACATTGCCTGCATCTTCACCTCAGACTTCTCATCTCTGGAGTGGTGAAAAAATAAACTTCTATTGTTTAACCACCCAGTTTGTGACCCTTTCTTAGGTAACCAGAGCAGAACAATGCAGTAGGCCAAGCAGACAGCATGCTTGCCCCACCCAACAGAATCCCTCATATCAAAGGGCAAGCACAAGAAATTCCATCCACTTTCTAACATAGCAAGGCTGGCCATTGGCTTACATAGGGGTGTGTGTTTCACTGTTCAGAGGGGAGCTGAGTCATAAGAGGATGTGTCATTGCCTCCACTGGTGACGTCTTGGGCTAAGGTCACTGCCTGCTGCTGTTAGGATAAGTGTCCTCCAGAGGCCCATGCTTTGAAGGACAGATCACGGCACTATCGGCAGTTGGTGGAACATTCAGGGGACCTTCCTCGTGGGAGGAAGTCCAGTCATTAGGGGCTTGACCTTGAAAAGGACATCGGACCCTGGTCCCACTGGTCCCTTCCTGTCTTGCTTCTTTGTTTCACGGCTGCCACAAGTCAAAGAGCTTATTTTGCGACGCGCTCCAACAATGGTGTGCTGTCCGCCATCAACTCACAGCAGCAGGTCCACTGGTGTTAGACTGAAGCCTCTAATACTGTGAGCTAAAATAAACCTTTCCTTCTTTTATGCTGTTTATCATAAACATTTTTCAGTGATTGGCAGCTGCCTGACATACTCGGTGAGGCACCGTCCCTCCCTGTACCACCACAGCATCACCTGGCATTTCGGATAGAGATCCCTGCTTTCATAAATACCCACTTGCATATATGTGGGTCCTGTGTGTATGGGTGGGTCGCTGTAGGACTACAGTGAGGCAGTGTTTGGACCTGCAGCATTATCCTGTAGTTGGGCCTACACATTTGGGAAGCCATATAGTCCTTTTGCCTTAGTTGTGGTCTGACTGGTAAAGATCATCTGACTGATCTTCCCATGGAGGTTTTTGTATTGCACTAGCCAAAGTGAGTGGCATGTGGATTCAGCAATATTCTCTGGATTCCACTTAGCACTTTTGTTTTTGATTGGCTTTTGTGGCAGACTAACCAATGGTCAACTTGTAACATCCAGCTGAACTGAGTCAGGATCTTGCTGGGTGTGGATGCCCATCTGAGGGTTGTTGCCAGCAGCATAAAAAAAGAACTGAAGGGAAACATGATGCTCTGTTGATTCTCTTGGAGAAGTTTGTCATGCTGGCTTTCCTGATATGAACTCAGCTGCTCTCACTGTTGGAGGACTTTGGGTCCTTGCTATATCTGAAGATGGCTGTGGTTCTCTTTGGGGGAGCTCTGGCCCTTACCTGGAGCATCACTTCCTACCTCCAGCACAGATCTTCCGCCTACTGAAACAGATCCTTCATCCCACTGGCTCAGACATTCTAGCTTCCACCACTGACCTCTGGGTATACCTAGTGCAGATCCTTGATACAGACTGTGTGAGACATTGTCATGGGCTGTAGGTTTTCAGCTGGACTTGTGCAGGACATTGCCATGGGATCGAGGCCCTCAGTTGGATTCTTTAGGTCTCCCATATTCTTCTTCATTGAGTCTTTGGGTGAATATTATAAAATAATCCTATAAACTATGTGTCCTGTATTAAATTTATTCCCTAGTAAACCCCGACCACAATAGTTTTGATGGAAACACTAGGTTTCTACTGATTTCCTACTGGGAGAGTGGATGCCTAGCCCATGGAGCTATGGATGATTAATGTATTCCAAGAGCATATGCACCATTCATGTGTCTTTGATCCTCACAGGGTGGAGACAAAATGTGTGAAGGTGTGAGAGTATGTTAGTCAGGTTTCTGTCACTGTGACAAAACACCTAAAAATAACAACCAAGGGGAAGTTCTGGCCCACAGAGAAATTTTCATCAATGGTCAGCTGGTATGACAGAAATGTCACGGTGCAAGGGTTTGGTGAAGGAAAGCTGCTTTCCATGAAGGAAAGAGAGAGAGGGGAGAGGGAAGAGAAAGAGAGAGGGACAGTGAGACAGACAGACACACAGACAGACAGACAGACAGACACAGAAACAGAGAGACTAGAGCAAAAAACAGCCTTCATAGGCCTACCCTCAATGCCATATTTCCTCCAATGAATCCCCACCTCCTAGAGTTTCTAGAGGTAAGTTCATATCTGTGAAAGTTCACAACTTGAGTGTTCATAAGTTGGGGACTTACTTTGCTCTGGACAGTACAGGCCTAGGACATCTTAATCACATTCTCATCATTCAGACACAAAACCAACACCTACAATTTAAAGAGAAGAGGTTTACCTTGGCTCAGAGATTTTAGAAGGTTCAACTCAGTGCAGAAAAGGCAGGATGGGAGAATCTAGTGGAGGAAATCTGCTCACATCCTGGTGGCCAGGAAGAGAGAGAAAGGAGTAACAGGGAAAGAGATATACCTTTCTCTGGGGTGTGACTAAAGCTGGAAATTGATCACATGTGCAGGAGCGAGGCAAGGCTACTCCAAAAACAAAAAGCACCTGAGGTAAGCCATGTAAGCAAGCTGTTCCAGTTTTTAAAAACACACAATGTGCTCCCCACAATCAAAGAACAGGTTGCTAGGCAAAGGGGTATCAAGTGACAGCAACCTGCAGAATGTATAAATAAATGCACTGTGGTGGTTGAGCAGTTCCTTTTCCTCTGATCCGGAGAGATGGCTCCACCTGACCTCAGCTTTCTGTGTATTGTCTCTTATCTTTATTTCTCCACCCTCTCACTGTCCTTCCCTTTGAGAACTTCAACAGGTGCACTGGACACAGCACCTTTCCAGGTCATTCCCCCAGTGAACTTACTCTTCTGACCAGGCCTCACCTCTTAACAGCACTTTAGGCTGTAGATTTATCAGTAGATTAGTCCACAGATGTGTGTAGCATTCCTATGATCTAGTCGACTTGTAAAAGTCCCACATTGGACCACATGAAGCTCTTGGGGATTCTCATTCCCCAAAGGAGGAATAGAAATATAGAAGAGAGGGTAGGCCCTAAATGAGACTGAAACCTAGCAGGAAAAGCAAACATTAATTTCTGTAATTCTGTGTCTGGATTCTCCAGCACATATTGCATGACATGAACTCCAAGACCTTGGCCTACCATCCTTCTATGGGTTCTATCTTGGGTTGACTGTGCTTACTGCCTACTAGTAATTGTGAATGCCTTTCTTGGTTGGTGTTCTGACTGGCATCACTAATTTCTTGGAGTCTCCATTGTAGCTTCAGCTTTACTCGTGCAGTTTCATGCACCACTTTCTCAGGGGCTGACTGTAGATACTCTGACCCTTCCACATAACACCTGACCTTTTTGGCCTTCCTTTGAAATCTAGATGGAAGCCTCTGGGAACCCAGAACTCTTGCATTCTCCATGTTTGGAAAACAGGCACCACATGGATGATGCCAAAGTCTGTCACCCCTGGTAGCAGTAGCCAGTCCCCTAGATCAATACGATAGCAGGCTCTGAGAACCTGGACAGTGGAGCATAGTTAAACAAATGTGGAGAAATAATTCCTAGGTAGCCCTTTGTGAGCAGAACACTGGGGGATTTATTCTTAAAGCAAAGTCTTTTAAATAAGTTTACACTTTTACACCTTTAAGCCTGTGATAGTAGGGTCTGGCCAATTCCTATAATGCTCTTGAAGCATCTTTCCTATTATGTGGGTGCAGGGTAGTTGGCTTCTTTTTAATGGCATTAATATGATCAGCAACCACCCAGTCACTGGACCCACTTGCTTATGGATTTCTTTTATATCAAATTGCAAGTTTTTAAAATGTTTCCACTCTGCTTTCCTCCCTTTATTTTTTCACTGTTAGTCTGGTAACAAGCAGACAAGTATACCCATGTTATTGCATGCATAAGATGTTGGCTTGAAATTTCCTGCAGTAGATTAATTAGTCTGTCTCCTTTAAACTCAGCCACCTACAAAATTTCAAGGCATAAGCCTGACATGGTGGGACACACCTATAATATAATCTGGTTCATTGAGGGAAGTGGATCACAAGTTCCAGCCCAGCCTGGGCAAGTTAACAACTTAGTGAGGCCCCATATAAAAATAAAAACAAAAATGGGCTAGGAAGGCAGCTCTATGCAAAGGGCTTGGGTTCAATCCCACTAACACATGCGCACATTCATGCATGCATGCAGACACACACACACACACACACACACACACACACACACACACAATCCCTCTGGGCATGGATAGAATATAGACCAGT